TATATATATATATATATATATATATATATATATATATATATATATATATATATATATATCACGAATAAAGAGCTTCGATGTGGCAACTTCTTCAACCCGTATCAGTGTCTTCTTTTTTTTTCTTGATTTATCCTTTTTTTTCTTTGTTCTTTAAGTTTCCATTTATTCCAACGCAAAAACCCTTCGTCTTTTGTGGTTACACTCCTTTCATCTTCTTCATCTCTTGATCAAAAAATTCTGGATTAACATGGTACGCCTCTTTCTTTCTATGCATCTATTGAGTTTTTCCTTCTCTTTTTCTCGATCTCTATCTACTCTCTTGTCTCGGTTAGCCTATTCATATCAACTGTGGATTCACATAATATGGTTACTGGCTTCTTGGAAAGATTTGAGGAGAGCGATTAGAAGCAAACTGAAAGCGATTACTCAGTTTGTAGTCAATCCGACGATGAAATGTGGCCATATTTGATTATTATGTGTGTGGCCTTGAGATGCCATCTGTATTGTTGCTTTGGTGATTCCAAGGATGTAGAAGAGGTGGAGAAGAAGTTTTAGTCAATATAAGAAGTCTATCTGGTTGTTTCTATGTGTAATTCCATAAACAAATTTGTAGGAATTGTTATCTTATTTTTACTTGCCTTTCATCTAACCTTTAATCTATTGCATTTCTCCCACTTACAGGTCGATGATGAAAGCAGATCAGGAGGAACACTCTGAACGGGAAACCACATAATACATGTTCTTTTGCTTGATGTCTTTGGTAACTTCAGAGATTTCAAACAAATACAGTAGAGTGGTATTTATGGTAATTTTGCTTGTAATCTAAGATTTAACCTCCAACCTATTGAACTTCCAAACTATTTGGCTTCTAATTAAACTATCTAATTCCTTGTATTCTTCCTCTCCATATCTCTCATCTCTCAATCTGTTCATCTCGATTTCAGGTTTGCTTTTGCTTCATGTTTTTAGCCGGCGTATGGCATACTTGCCGTGGAAACAACAGTTTGTTTTTCTTCCTCTTGATCTCTTAATCTTTTGCTATCGATAGTTATTTTACTTCTATTCGGATTTTAGGTTATGTATTGAATCTTGACCACTCTGTTTTTTTTTTTTGTTTTTTTTTTATTTAAGTATTAGTCAAGCATGTCGTGACTCAAGATATTACTATTATATAAGATGATGATATTATATATTTCGTGTCCATTGTAAGTTACTCTGCCAGTATTTTGTATCTCATACCTTTAATGATTATTTTTCTTAGAATTGTTTGTCAATAATTTGTTGCTACAATGATTATTTTTCTTAGAATTGTTTGTCAATCATTTGTTGCTACAAGTTCATTTCTGTGTGCTTTTCTGACTTTAATGTTGATGATCATCTCAAATATGTCTCGAGCAACATTGTTTATAGGAGTTTGAGTCAATGGAGTAGAGGATATAGAGGTGGTTGGCTATTTCTTTGTCTGCAACATTTTAAATGCCATAAAGAATGTAGGTATATCTTCTGTTCTTCGTCAAATATACATTCATATAGAAAATTATTAAGTTGTACTTATTTTGAAGCCAATTTTTCAAATGCACAAAATGGAATATATGTTGTGAGTAGTATTTGAACCTTAGATCTTTTTACATTGATCAAGATTCTCATTGTGAACGTTTTCTTTTTGCAAAGCCGAACTGGGTTGTGACTTGTGAAATGGGGTCTATGTTACAGTTTCCTTTAAATTTTTCATTGATGTGCTTTGTAGAAATTGTGAGAAATGATTAACACAAAGTCACCTATGATGAACCGTGTTTTCACCAAGGTTGATAGCTTATGTCTTGGTTTTAATTATTGTGTAGAACAATGACATTTATAATTGTAGAAATGGTTGAAACAAAGTTACTTACGAGTAAACATGTTTTCACTTTGCACCATTATTCATAGTATAGGACTTGTGGCCATAATCTGTCGGTGAAAATGTTGTAAGTTCGAAGTTAGTTGCATAAGCACCAACATGATGATCGTCAAGTGTGAATTGATGAATGCTTGGTAGGAGATGAGTCGGGGTTATTACACTTCAAGCAACAATTTAAGGTAATTTTTATTAACTATTTGAAATATCTGGAAAATATATATATCAAAAATTTTAATTGTCTCACATCTTATCTTAATTGTTAGTAGAAAGGATTACTCACTTCAAAGTTAGCTTGTGTAGTATATTAGTTTCTTATTAATTGATTAAATTCCATACTAAATGGTTTAGCAAATCTGAAGTTCAATTTGTTTGCAACAATACATTTTTCTCAAGTTTTTCATGAATATGAATACGAGCATGAGTTTCTTGAAGTTGTGAACAGTCAGGCATTAATTCTTCAAGAGTAATAGGTTCTTTATATTGTTTTTTTGGTTAATTGTGAACACTCATGAAGTAGTGGCTAAAGATTATTGGATTAGTAGCACAAAAACTAGCTAAAGTAACCAAAGAAGATAAAGCATATATCATTGCATTAGATAGTAGTGAGTATATAATACTTGGTTAAGTTGGTTTTCCCTTTTCAACATGTTATTAGCCTCTATTTTTTTTTTTTGTTATTAATTATTGAAGTGCATTTCTAAGTATGTATCTCTTATAATGAGCCATTCTCAAGACACGACTTAATGTTTGCTCCCTTATTTCTTCTCGACATTTTTGCCAACATTTCATTTAAATTTACTCAAAACATATGAATTGAATGACACACGTATCATGTCAAGGTCAATCAGTTTGCGATGTGCCAAGTAGGGTTGTTTTTTTTTGTTTTGAATGATGATTAATTCAGAATAATTACTCCTTTTTAATATTGTTGTGTGCCTAAAGAAACATACCTAGGGGTGAGATAGAGACAAATTTCATGTGTTCTACGAATTAATTAGATTATGTTCTCTTACTTTTAAGTTTGACCTTGGTTTTTCAGCCAAAGCTAAAAGCATTGATTTTTTTTTTCTTTCTAGAGATTTGTGAGCCTAATAGCAATGTCATAATGACATAAACTATACATATTGCAGTAATTTGTGAGGTTGGGTGGTATGGAATAACTTGTAATGCAATATTCAAAATGTCAACTCCGCACCTCCTATGCTTAATAATACCACTGATGTGTGAAGGATATGTAATGTAACTTTTCTACCTGAAAAAGGATGTAGATAATTCAAGAATCATGGAGAGAGAGATTAGAAGGGGACTTTAAATAGCCATGATATATTTTTATATGTGATGAATCATATTCAGGGATACAAAGTGAAAGTAGAGCGAACTCTAGGATGTTCACTAGATTAAAAGTTGAATACAGTAGGTGGTGCTGCTTCCAATATAAGCTTCTACATCAACGTTAGGATGCTTAAATTGGACTTGATAGCAGGAAGTTGAAGTCTTAAGTTTTGATTATTTGATATTGCGAATGTTAGACAAAACTAAATATAAGAAAATGAGAAGAAACAATTAAGTTGAGATTACAGGTCTATATGATCCTTTGAGTCAACTTCTTATCGTCTTCTTTTACAATCACAAGCCTATTTAGAAGATTCCTTCTCTTAACCATTTTTAAGATTCTTGATATCAATTTCTTTTGGTTAGCAAGTTCTTCAGCTAAAAATTAGAAGTTATTCACATACATTTATGTTGTTTTCTTACAGTCAATTTATTGTAGTTTTCAGTTTTCATGAACTCTTTTGATTCCCAAAAAGAGACTCAATTTGACCTCAAAAAGTTATACAACTGAATGAGTGTCCAATTTTGCTTGTGAAAAGGCATGAACTCAACTGATATGTTATACATTTTTGTAACTTGCAGGTCGAGGGTATACAAGAAGGATCAAATTCTAAGCAAACGAAGACAATTTGCTTCATGGACAATGATAAAAAATGATCATACTTTATTTTAGATACTTCAAAGTCTCATTAATAGGTCCCATTTTAGACGATATCAACCATGTGGATGCTTTTCATTTGCTTATGAATTTACTATAGTTATTTTCACTTAACCAAGTATTGTGTTGTAAGTTGTAATAGTCTTTTTATAGTATCGTAGTTATATTGTATAATTTTAGAATGGAAGCATGTGGGGGGTCTCTGTGTAATTAAATTGGTTGTTGCAGTTTACTTGTACTAGTTACTTACAACTGATGCTCATCTGTATAATATTGTTTCAGCTTGTGATTGTCTCAATTCATGTTGCTTCGGCTTGTATTTGATGGGCCCACGTCAAATTCTTCAAAGAACTTTCTATAAACTTTGTTCATGACTTTTCGTGATCAAATTGAGTCTACTTTTAGATCTGATGAGTTCATGAAAACTTAAAACTGTAGTTGTTTTGAGAGTTGAACCCTGTTCAAGAAAGATGTAATTACCACAAAGAAAATTTGGAAGATTAAACTCAAATAGATGTCATCAGCAGTACCTTTATTCCATTTACAACATCCTTGTACCATAAGTTGCATGTTGTGTGTCTCATGACATGTCAAGGCAAAGCCAGTCCAAAGTTGTTTGATGACATGAGTAGAAACGTTAAAACATGCCTCAACTAGAAAAAAAAACACAAATATATTTTAGGGTTTGAAAAACTGTTTAAATGGTGTTAGTCCATATCCAATCATTTTCACAATTTCTTTAACAAAATGGTGTAAAATTTTGTATTTCTTTCTTATTTTCTTGAATCATAATATATACACACACACATTTATATATATGTGTGTGTATGTATGTATGTCATTTTTTATGTTTTATTATTTATACATATGGAAAATTGCATCAAAATGGAACCAACTTTCACCTGATTCCTATTTTGGGGAACCAACTTTCAAAATCTTCATTTTGGGGAACCAACTTTCACCTGATTCCTATTTTGGAGAACCAACTTTCACCTGATTCTTATTTTGGGGAACCAACTTTCAAAATCGTCATTTTGGAGAACCAAGTTTCACCTGATTCCTATTTTGGAGAACCAACTTTCAAAATCGTCATTGGGGAATCAACTTTCAAAATCGTCATTTTGGGGAACCAACTTGCAAAATAATTATAGAAAAATAACTAAAATTCGTTTTTTTCATAAATTAAAGTAATAAAATTTATTTTTCATTTCAAATCTCGTTTTTTTTTACTTCATATATCAAATTGAAGATTTTTTCGAAAAAAATCCAAATTACCACGATAAAAATTGTTTTTTACTAGTGCAATAAAAAATCAATTTAATAGAAAAAAATTAATTGATACAATAAAAAATAATTATTAAATATCACATTCAAGATTTTTATATCTAACCAATCTATGTCAATATTAAAGTTTAAATCAAATTTAGCAAATCCAACCAAAAGTTTGATAGAGACCCTTAAATTACCTGTTACATGTTTAACAGATCAACCAGACCCTTAAATAAACAAAAAGTTTGATAGAGACCCCTAAATGACGATTTTAAAAGTTGGTTCTCCAAAATAGGAATCAAGTGAAAGTTAGTTCCATTTAGGTGTAATTTTCCCATTTTTCTATAATTATTTTGCAAATTGGTTTCTCAAAATAGGAATCAGGTGCAAGTTGGTTCCCTAAAAATGACGATTTTGAAAGTTGGTTCCCCAAAATAGGAATCAGGTGAAAGTTGTTTCCTAAAATGACGATTTTGAAAGTTGGTTCCCCAAAATAAAAATCAGGTGAAAGTTGGTTCCATTTTGGTGCAATTTTCCCTTATAAATTTATAAAGATAATATTTAAGTATTCTGTTAAGATTCAATGATTATTTTAATTATATTTTAGATTTTTTATATTTAAAATAAGATGTTTATCTTGTATTTGATTATGTTTATCTGCAGTTAGTTACACGAATTCAGATATGAAGTTTTAATAAGTTGTACTTACGCATAATCTACTTGCAATCTTGAGTTTTAAGTAATATATATTATATTATAAAGTATTTGACAAAAACTCTTAAAACCCACTTTTTATGCGTAAAATATTGTTTGTTAATGCATATTATTTGTCATAATACATATCAATTTATCTTCTACATATATTCTTATAAAATATTTATATTTATTAGGCAAACATTGTGTTGTTACCTACTTTGATATAATTGTTGAATATTTTTACAATTTGCTTACATTAGTCAAATATACTCATTTGCAACAATGGCCAAAAACCTACTTGAAACCCTTATTTTCCTACATGCAGTTGCAAAAGTGGAACAATAATGTAACACCCTCATTTTCATCAAGAGAGATGTCACGTAATCTGAAACATTTCCTTAATAAATATACCAAAGTAATGGCTAAT